AAGCCCTGAACCCTAAACCTGAAACCCTAAACCCCAAACCCCAAACCTTACATGCCAAGCCCTGAACCCTAAACCTGAAACCCTAAACCCTGAACCCTGAACCCTAAACCCTAGTCTGTCTCGAGCTCGACTCCGGATCTCACGGCTGCGTACCTTTGAGTCTGATTCCTGCTTGGTAGTATGGGGACCTTAATGATTACCAATTCTACGGTTTAGGGTTTAGGGTCTAGGGTTTAGGGTTATTATTCTTATTATTATTCTTATTATTATCGTATACCCCCAAAACCCTATTGTAATTATTAAGGCCCCTACATTAGGCGAGACCCCCAAACCAAGGAATGCCTGGACTGCAGCATCCGTTGCACGTCGAGCAGATGCTGCGCAGGGCGCAGAGGCAGCCGTGGTCCTGGCGGGGACCAACGATGCGCTGTGGCAACAGAATTGGGCATTGCACACTCAACCCTAAACCCTAAACCTTAAACCCTGAACCCTAAACCCTAAACCTTAAAGCCTCAACCCTAAACCCTAAACCTTAAACCCTAGACCCTAATTAAGAACCCTGAAGCCCCTAAGCCTTCTTTGTGGAAATAGTCGGAGGGATCCCTTTCATTCAGCTGTAGTATAGGGGCCTTGATAATTACCTATACTATTTTTGGGGGTTTCCCTCTCATAATTATAGTATAATATACCCTTTTCCAGGAGGCGAGCCGAGTCATTGGGGTTTGGCCTCTCTTTGGCTTGTCTTAGAGCTACATCATGTTTAGGGTTTACGGTTTAGGGTTCTCTTAGAGCTACATCATGTTTTTTTGCTGGTGCCTTGCTCTTACCGGCTAATCATTCACTCCGCACGCCATCAGTTGTGCTTGCTATGAGTCTGGATGAGAGTACAAGACACGGGAGGCGTGGTTGCAGAAAATGGTCGTGATTTATAGTGAAAGTCCATGACGAGTGGTGCTCAGTTAGGACCTTCATGAATGCTTTGCTCTGTCGGTGGCTGCAATACCGCTGCGGGTTATGACTACGACGACCAGTATGATTATCATCATTGTGGCTATCATTACATTTTGGAGGTTTGATAGTGAGGGTAACGATTATTCCCACTGCATTTGCTGGATTTATTATCGGATGGTTGCAATCCAGCAACACTGTGATCTTGTAGGTATTGCAGTGTTTCACTACCAAGATTTTTTCGTTGCCGTTTTGGATGGAGAGTTTCATCAACAGCCAGTATCCTAATCTCAGATACAGCAACAAAGCAGCAGACAGTATATGCATGTCGCCAACCCACGCAGGCCTTTTTATCGCAATAGGCAGGAACTACAATGTGTGAACCAATCAGAATAGTTTGGAAATTTTCATTGTCATCTTCGCGCTCCACGTCCTTGTCCCGGTCCTTGTCCTCTTCATCAGCAGAATAGTTTTCATGATCGCCATGGCAGTCCCTATCACCATCACGACCATCGCCACAATCGCGACCACCAACCACCATCAGCACCATCAGACCATTAGCACTATCAGCACCATCACAGCCATCACCATGACAAATCATCGCCATCGCCATCGCCATCGCCATCGCCATCATCAGCATCATCATCATCATCGTCATCGTCATCATGAGCACAATCATCATCACCATCATAATCATCATCATTGTCGTCATCATCATCGGCGTATATCCCATGGCTCGAAGCAGGTGGATAGTCGTAGCCGTACAGACGTCATAACAGAAGGGCACATGCGAAGTGGCACGACCGACCTGACGGGACGTAGGAACAGTAAGCCGCGGCAGGACGAATGTCGACGAAACCCCTAACTTTGTCATAGTTGGGTAACATTTTACATTTTTAAGGGTACTTAAACCCAATAAGGAATATAAATTTAAATTTTTAATACTACCCCAACCATGAACTAGTAAACCCGACAACTTTTGTCGAACCCATATGGGTAGTTGTCAAAATTATGGTCCCTTTGGGGGTACCCTAAATGATAGGTGCCGATTATGACAAGGACCCAAAAAGGGACCATAAGTTTGACAACGACCCAATATAGTAACCCTTATAGAACCCTCATAGCAACCCGAAGCCCTAAACCCGAAGCCCTTATAGAAACCTCATAGCAACGCTTATACTAACCCTTAAAGCAGCCCGCATACATCCCTTATGGTAACCCTCATCGTAACCCTATCAGCCCTGCCCCGAGAAAAGTCCCAGGCGCTGTTGGAGCTCGCTTGGCGCGCTGGCAACCAAGGCAACGTTGGTTTAGGGTTTAGGGTTTAGGGGCTCGCTTTTTCGGGGCTTAGGGTTAGTAGAAGGATAACTGTCAGGGTTCTATAAGGGTCACTGCATGGGAGCTGCTGCTTCGCAATTTGCAATGGAAGAGGAGATGGTTTTCTTCACCTCTGGTCCTTCTGAGGGTCTTTGCGAGCGGGGCTGTTCAGGATGTGCGTTTCTGATCGCTTCTAGATTCTAGCATTTCGAATCACAGCCATCGCGATGCCTTCATATTCCCCCAATCGCTAAACCAAGCCCCAAACCAAGGTATTAATTTCTAAACCCTAAACTCCAAAGCCTAAGCCCCAGACCCCAAACCCTAAACCTTGAACCCTGGAGCCCTGAGCCCTCCGTGAATTTGTTTCGTCGCGCAGTGCCTTTGCCAGGCATGCTTTCCATCTACAGGGCTTTGTGCCTTGACTTTGAAGTGCAGTGGCCATCAAAAGACCAAGGACTCCTGCGTTTCCGGGCAGTAGGGTTGAGGACTTCGATACTAGTCGGACTATACAAGATGGTACAGTGATCCAAGCCTCGTTTGGATTCTGGCTTCTCTACCTGATGATTATCATACGGAGCTTCATTAAACACCGCACATGGATGACGACACAATTTTGCTTCGTGTCTGAGTCGTGTTCTCCGGAAGTTTTAACTTAAGTAACTGTCAAAATCATGGTCCGTCTGGTGCGGCTTGTATAATTCCATCCTTAATACGGCACCTTACAGTTTGGGAACCCAACACAGACCCTCATTCGGACTACTACCCACATGTTTCTGAGATACGTCAGTCCTGTTTAGTTTCATCTGCAACAAACCTTGGTCTGCACGCACCCCTTGAACTCGAAACCAAAACCAGCGTTGTTACGGGTTTTTCGCTTATGCCCTTTTTTTATTTGGTTTCTCCGTCATGTCATGAGGCCAAGTTTCTGCGCTCAGACGTGTTTGCACGTATGTGGCGTTCAGGGTTCGGAACCCTGAACACCAACCGGAACCTTTGTGGGTAATAGGTTTCGAGCTGCCCCAATACTTGGAGGTTCATGGGTAGTTATAAGTGGAGTTATAAGTAGGGTAACTATACTTATAACCCATATTAGGGGACTTATAACTCCACTTATAACTACCCATGAACCTCCCAGGAACGAGCTGCCGGCGGATTATCAGCCCTCTCAGGAGGCTGGCCCGAATCGACGAGCTTGACCTTAGGGGTGTTTCGGGTTTTCGGCTTAGGTTTATGGATTACAGAACCCTAAACCCTAAACCCTAAACCCTAAACCCTAAACACTAAAGGTTTATGTTGAAATGCTAAGTTTTCCGACTGGGGGGATTGATAACAGATTCGGAGCACCTCAGCAAGCGAAATCGTCAACGCAGCATGGACGGACATCATGGAAGCTGAAGAACCCTAAACCCTAAACCCTGAACCTTGAACCCCTCAACCC